CACGTACGTAAAATGCTACAATATTGTAGTGTACGTAATATGAACCTATTCACATATTTTTACAGTAAGATTTTTCAGTATTGACTGGATAATTGATAACAATAACTTGATTATAATATAGTATAAAAAAATATACTATACAATATATATATATATATATAAATATATTATTACTATAATTATTAAATGTATATTAACAACATACTACATACAATTTTTTTGGCGACAATTAAGTATAATCAAATTAAATAATGTATAATTAAATTAATGTAATAAACATAAAAAAAATATTATCACGAAATGTATTTAGTTATATAAATAACTGATTGGCTCCATCTCCGCTAAGAATCATTTTTCGTATACAATAATGTAACATAGAATTCAAATTTAATACATCCATTAAAGTGACCCACTCAACACCAACTGTACAGCCGAATGGTACCCACTTGACTTTTAAATTTATTGGTATAGTTGTTATAATGTAAAATAATGTAAAATATTACGTATACTATTTATTATATTACAATTCTTTGTCACGATGAACCGAGCAAAATTAGTGATCTTATATTAACTTCTGTATTTTATATTTTTATGTACCATTATTTTTTTAAATAGTCAAAAATCATTAAGTATATATTTTAAAAGTAATTAAAAATTATATTTATGCTATTATTAAATTTAAATTTTGATCTACATGTTTTGTGGTTATTTAGTCCTAATTATTTCAACATGGTCAATTTGTTTGCCCTTCAGCATAAACTATTTTTAAATTGATCTATCAATTAATCTAACAAAAATTTACGTATTGAAAAAAATAATATTTAACTACACGACAGAGGACTACAAATTAATTATAATATTTATAACATTTATTAATTGGGTTATCATTCAGTTTACTATCTACGTACTACTGCTTAAAATCTACAAAAATCAAAGGCCTATAAATGATTTACTGATTGCGATTTATTATTCTATCTAGTTTTTATTATTAAATTTGATGTACAATACAAGGATCAATTTTGATTACTGTATACCTGTACCTGAGTATGAGTTAATATCCAAAGTTAGTTTTAAATTTGATAACAATATTTTTGTATTTTATTTACATATAGAATTTATTTAGTTTTCAAATAAACTTAATCAATGACTTAATTAATATGAATAAGATTTTATAGTTAAAGTTAATTGTACGAGTATTTTTACTACGTTATGGTGTTAGCCATGATAAATGTTTACTAGAAATTAAAACACTATCTACTAAAAATAAAATTATAAGAACAACAAACTAACTTAACTTAAATTATAAGTAAAATTAATTAAAATTAATTTTAAACTTATACATGCACTAAGAACATATGAGACGGGGCACTATAAAATTTAATTACACAACTCAATACTTATAATTTATTTAATAATTAATATCTGTAAAGATTAACTCAATTCACTAGCTAATCTAAAATATAATTTTCATTCAAGCACTAAAGCAATAAATTAAAATAGATAACCACATTATTTCAAACATATATAAGAATATACGTTTGATATGGTCACCATTGTGACATTGTAGGTAACGAAGAGATTGAAAAAGTAACTTGATACTTGGTAAGTAACGCCAACATGGAAATATACTAGGAGCTTAAATCCAGTTTAATCGATATTATGTTTAAGGATATATACTACTATTGTCCTTAGTTATGGGAATTTTCATGAAGACATATAGTGAATAATAAGCGTAGAGAAATTAAATTTACAATCAAATATTATTCTGAAACCCAATTACTTTTAAGTGTACAAATGAAGTCGTTATCAGCACACTGAAAATAGTCAATAAAGCTAACCTGCAAGATGTCCAACAGCCCTCTTATGAAAATAAAGTAACCGGTATTATACCGAGTATATAGTAAACATTTAACAGTAAAATATTTTTTCATTTACTCCAAAAACTAGAACAATTTTAAATGTTCGTGTTAAACCTACATCAACTGTCCTTATCGACCTATATGAAGCTTTTAACCTACAAGAAGAAAATCTTGGAAAATTCTTTCTTTTTAATAAAAGTTAATATATGTAATTCAATTTAGATACTACACTGTATATAATATTTTGTGACATTAATGAATATTTATTTATAAAATGATGAATAATAATTTTAGTGGTTAACGCAGTGACAAAAAAATTTAAAAAAAAGAGTTATAAATGTTAAATAATCCAGTATTTTAAAAATAAGATGTATTTGCTAATAAACAAACTTTAAATCTGTTATAAAGAGTTATTTTCAAAAAAAAAGAAGACATTTTCACGATATTTTTTCTAGCAAAAAACTTATTATTTATTATATGTTGACGTATTGTGCTGTCGAAATAGAATAACCTCAAATTTTTTTCATTTCTATGAACATTCAAACATTGTATAATGTTTTTTACTGAATTTCTCGTGCCAAATGCAAGCTTGTTTTGTTAAATTACCTATTTCTTAGTTTTAAATTTTGAGTTTTTTTTACTTAACTGACAGCAGAATAACCACGTTGTTATTAATACCTGTCACCTGTCTCTTGACTATTCGCAGACAATTTCAAAGAAATCTTTTTTTTTATAATCTATTCTTCTCAGTGTATTATTTACTAAAAGTACATAGTGTACTTACTCCTCTCAGAGATTCTACTTTTATGGATGTTGAATCATTGATTAATAAAACTAAAATATTTTGAATGGTTTCTTTGTTTTTGGTATTTTATCTGTTAGTTTAAACTGTGCTGAATTTTTTTTTTAAATTAATTGGCTTCTTTTTTATTTTTTTAGAAATTATCTTCTCAATATTGAAATTATTATTCAGTATTTAAGATTTTACATTCCACGAATTTAAATTAAGATTAATAGTATTTACTTGGAGCTATATCCAAACTATAAACGCCTGTTAAAGGATTATAAAATAAGCAAATATATTTTTATGAAACTTTTTCGTTTACTTGAAAAGTTATTATTGGAAATTGCGTTCTTATAAGATTCTTTACTAAATGTATTATCTTATCCTATTGTCATATTATAATACATTTATATGTCATATTTTGTTTCTAAAATAAATTATAATATTTATAACTATAAAAAATTAATACATTTTAACGTCTAATCCGATCAGATATACTCAAAGCGATTATTATATAATAAACACGACATTATATAATATTATGTAGGTATTTGCTTTAAAAATATTGTCGTTTAATATTTTATAAGTTATAATATTAAGTTAAGATTTGATTTTAGAACGTACTCTATGCAAATAACTATAAACTGTTTTGCTTTGGCACCTATACATCAAGAGATCTGTTATTTTTACCTAGCACAGTAGTAACTCGTGCTCATAAAAACTACATTCAAATGCATAGCCTACGAAGGAATTTGGCTTTGTCCTGCATTACAATTTGAATGCATAAACCTATCAAGTATTTAATATTCGAATAGAGAATTACTCGTACTTTTAGACACTTTTATCCAGTAATTATAGTCAATATGGACGTATTCAAGGAATGTTTGATTATTTAAAGTATTTAAACTATTTATTTGATTTGGTATGTATAATATTACAAAAAAAATATAAAATAAAACAAAATATAGATAATAAATTGATATAAATTGTGTAATCGACAAATAAAAAAAAAAGTTAATACTATGAATGTTAAAAAGCTAACTATTTATAATTTAATAAAAAAATAATATTACTTATATATATTTCATAAAAAAAACTTTTAAAAACAGATGCTTGTAGAACACGGGTTAAAAGTTGTTTTACAATTTAAATCAATATTACGAACAATAAAATAAATGTTAATTTTTATACAGTTGCTGAAATTACTGTAATTAAAAATTTTATTGAAAAAGACAAAAACTCAAAAGTTAAACATAAAATTATTTAAAAAGGGATAAACACTACAACTTCACTGGAATGGGAATGGACATAAACTGTCAACAGACTCCGTGATAGAATGTGGTATTGGTTTTTGGTTACAGTTAAAATCATGTAGAACATAAAGGTTTTGCTAAATAACAAAGCATAAATGTAACTCGTAAAGTATAGAATGACATTGCTATGGCAGTGGTTCACCGGAAAATGTTAAACAGAAAAAAAATGTTACCATATAGCTCAGTCTTGTGTAGTTGTAACTTGTCACATTGTATGTAAAAAGAAGGAATCTTGGCAGCATATGTAAATTATAAATCAATGATAAACCATGTCGATTTTGTAAAAAATCTAAATAGAGCCAAAGACCAATGGCTTACACATACATAATTAAGATATTATGTCTAATAGGTATAATATACATGAAACTTCAAGTATATTATGTTCTTTTTTTTTTTTTTTTTTTTTTTTTTTATAAAATTTTTTTTTTTTTTTTTTTTTTTTTTATAATAAAATATTACTAATTATGTATGTTAAATTAATAAAAAAATAGAGATATTTATTAGGTTTTCGACAATTTTGAAAATAGGAAAAAATCAAAACAATTTATAAAATTGTAAATATATAAAATAATATATTAGGTATCTATAGAATGGAATTGTATAGTTATAAATAGTAATTATTGATATTGATATTTCTGTCGTAGTTTAAATAATAATTGTAATGATTGATGTTATTATAATTGACTATAAATTTCAAATTTCAAGAAAACATACAAATATTATGATATTGAATTATAATTTATAAAAACCACGGTGTAATATATATTCAATATTAACCTTTAAAAATGTATTTATATAACTATGTTTTATTTATTTGGGTTAGATAAGGTGAAAATAAAACCAACAAACCAATTATAATAATTAATATTGAGTATTAGAGTACCTCCTAATTGAGTGTAGCTTTTTGATAACTGCAGAGGTATTTGATTATCTTTAGATTGATAATAATAATTTGATAACTAATATTATGCTTAAGTACCTATAATATTTATTTTATAGTAACAAGTTAAAATAAATTTATTTAATTTTATATATTTACAGTACCTTAAAGCATGATCTCTCAGCTGTCTGCTGTGTTTTAGGTCCTCTAGTTCAACTCCTTTGAATGGCATAAAGGATTGTTGAACATCTGGATGCGTCTCGAAAAGGCTGTAAATATAATAATGCATAAAATGTACTTAATATAATTTATTATTAGCACTTAATAAAATACGATGAAAATAATTGTACTTGAACATTCAAAAATTGTCATAAAACTTGTATTTTATGAATAACCGTTTAAACTAGATTTTAATTATTAATAATAGTCTAATAAACATTGTTTTAACTATTAATAATGATCAAATAAACAATAAGATCACTACGAGCTAAGTGATGAATAGATTGGTTTACAATGATTGGTAGTTGGTAAGATAGGTGGTCATGAATAAAAAATGTCCAATATTTTTCAAAACAATTAGAATAAACTAAAAAAAAACATGATCTGTTCTTTTGAGTTTGGATAATGTTTAAACTGTCCTTAAATGTACTTTAACAAACGTAATATTATGTTATTTGATATCTTTTCTACTACATAGAAAAACATTAAATCATAATAAAAAAACAATGTATAACGAAGTGTAATAATGATGTAATTATATAAATCATCGGTTGCTAGGGGCAACCTTATACAAAATCCGATCACAAAAAAAATAATTATGTCCTGATTTTACAATCCGTTTTTCTTTTTTTGGTTTTAATGATAATGTAATCATATTATTCATTAGTTTTTAGAGGCAACCTATTTACTTTAATAAATAACTATAATATTATAACATTAATTTAATGTTTATTATTGTTTAGTTGTCATTGCAACTATTACACGAAATCGGTTAGCAAAAAACAATTTTATAATATATATCAATATATCATGTTTAAAAAAATACGGGCAAGTCGCTTTGTTATATAGGAAATTTCACTTATAGCTCTTCAGTAAGTAAGACAATGACATAAAAGTGTTAAATTTAAATTTAAAGAAAACTTATTCCATTATATTAAATACGAATTTGAACGATCTGTCAGTCTAATTTTTCAAGAATATTACAATATATTAAACTAAATTTTACTAAAAATAAATTCAAATATATTATATATTAATGAATTATTAAATATTATTTTATATAATATTTTAATATCTGCTACTAACTTATTAGTCAATACTGACGAGCCCTGATAGATTGATGAATAAAATCGGGGTATAAATATCTCGATATTTTGACAATAAAAATGTAAGTAATAGCTGAAAGTTGAAAGTTTCAATGATAAATATTTTTAATAATTAAATATTAAATATTGTATGAGAAGAAATAATTATTTTATGTGTAAATATTTAATGTTGAAACTATTTTAAATTCAATCACGTAAAAAATGAGTATAGTTATTCGATGTTTTTTTTTTTTTATCTAATCAAATAAATTTATGAATAATCTTATATACGATTTTCAAGCCTTTGGTGTTTAAGTTTAAAATGTTATGAGTTTTTAGCTTTAAAATTATTAATATATTATATTTTTGTAAATTTTGTAAAAACTGTTATAATTTTTTTTTTTTACATATGGAGTTATTAAGAATTTTTTTACCAATGTTATTCATTATTTAGTTGTAATTGAAACTATTTTATATTTATACTAATTTTAAGTTATTTTTGTATGGTACATAAAAGTACTTACAATAATTAACTACAACAGTGTATATTTAAAATTATATCTATATAATATTATAATACTATAGAAATTACGAATGTATGCGAGGTTTTTAGCATAATTGTGTTCATCATAGGTATATTACCAACAGTTATAGTAATGTAAATAAATTGTGTGTACAATATATAATTAAAGGCTAAATAGAGGCTGACACCGTCAGCGTTTATTATCATAGATTTATATTATGCAATGATTTATCAGTTCAAATTGAACGTGTTACCGTAATTATTGACTAGGTCAATATAGTATTTATTTACCTACCTAATGAATAGGTATACTCAATATTTACTATACACTAGAATCTGTGACTAGATCGTCAAGCAACTTCCCTGGTTTTTTCTTTCAAAAGAGTAAATCGATGATTGTATATTTCGTATATAATATAATATTGTACAAAACAAATCAAGGGAGATATGTTATGAACAATGAATTCATATACAATATATTCTAAGCTAATTGTCTGTTAAGTAGCGATCAATCGATATATCAACGCAAAGTCTTTTACAAAAAATCAACAATGAAAATATGATGTCACTATAACTTTACGCGTCCTTCTTGCCTTACTTTAAATCTTGTGATTATTTTTTGATGATAAATGGTTGTCATTTAATATACTTTGGAACAACTTTTATACAATTTATGTGATGAAATATGAAGTATGATATCCTCTGACAATGTCTACTCGCAACACTATTGTTATTTTGTATTTTCATGAAACTATGTTTAACAGATATCAATCATCTTTTAATTTATATTTTTTTAGATGATAAAGATTAAACCAAAAGAGAAAAATGGACACAATACTATTGTTATTATTTGTACCGTATATCAGTTGTTTGTTTGCTTAAAGAATGATAAAAGGTATATTTTGTTATATTAATAGGTACAGTAAATTTTTGACAAAAACACACAAAATACATTTCAATGTATTGATAATAAAATGGTATGTATTTATTTTTTTTTCTGATAAAATTTCAGTTGTTAAGTTTGAAATTAAACCAGAGTTAAACTTGCTATAAAATATTTTTTTTAAACAAACTTTCCATATAATATAATACTTGAAGTTGAATGATAATAATACATGTACATGGTACGAACAATTGTTGCTGCAACACCTAACCACGTATTTTAAATTTATATAATATTTTGTAGATTGAAAATAATATGTTGTGTGTTTGAATTTAGTCTTCTCTTTTATTGTTACGACAATGGCGTTAAAATAATTTTTGATCACGTTTTTTTTTTTTTTTTTTTTTAATCAGTATTTTCAGATATTGGTCTTTATTATGACAGTTTATGATTTTTTTTTTTTTTTATTATTATTTTCAATGAGTGTTTAAAAAATAAAAACATCGTGTTCATTGTTTATTTCGTGCATTATTTTTTAGTATTTACGCAGAATAATAACTAACATTTAAAAAAAAAAAAAAGTAATTCTTTTATTAAAACTAAATAACTAAAATGTTTTAGTGAATATTATTGGATAATATCGATTAATATCAAATGCTAGATTTATTTTTTGTTTATATTGGCTTATAAATATTTGCTTTAAAGAATTGAATTTATTATCGGGAACCAATTTTATTATCAGCTTATTTTGAATATTGGAAAAAACAGTATTAGTCATATCTATTTAGTTTATCGCTTAATAAGTTTTTACTGTTCTTAAAAACTTTAAACATAATATTTTTATAGCTGGCGAACTAAACATACTTTTTAATACTAAATAAACTTGAATATTGTCAAATTAAAATATACCTACTGATCAATATTATACAAATTATCATATAGTTTTATGTACAATAAATTGTGTCACTATATAAAAATTTAAATCTATTATAATTTTTTTCAGTACTATAATGAGAAAGAGATTAACTTAACATTTTTATAAACTCGAAAATAAAGAGCTTTAACCGTATAAAAACTTAAAAACTTAAATTTTGAAAAAAAAAAAAACATAAAAATGTGTTTTGCATATTTTTATAAATAAAATGTATTCTTGTACTTAATGATACTTTAAAGAGATAAACGTGTGTATTATTTATATTTATAGTCCTTATTACTAGTCTTATTACAAGCCGGTATATAAAAGAGTTTAAGAGTTATCTCCTCTTCTCCAAAATTTTTAATCTTAGCATATAACTATAATATAACCAAGACTAACTACAAACTTTATGTATAGTTGTACAACTACAGTTTATTTTAAGTATTTGTACATTTCCCAGTTTCTCACTAATCATTACACGTTATCTTAAATTTGTTAAAATTTTATCACAATCTTGTTAGACGATGGGTTTAATTGGTTTATTGCTATAATTGTTCGCTAGTTATGAGTTTAGTCTGTTTTTCAAAATTATACGTAAGGTTGACTTTGTTTTATGATTTAAAACTATATTTTACTATTGTTTTCATTATTTGTTGTTCGTATACATTATTATATTATATTTTGTACTGTACAATATAATTATTAAAATAATAATATGATTATGTATTTTTAATTCACATATTAAAAATATTTGAACACCTCCCCCCCTTCAAAAAAAAATGATCCGAATTATATGTTCATTATAGTACGTAATTTTTTTTTTGAACATATTGAGAAATTCTGTGTTTGATACATTTTTTATTAAAATACTGAAGACTTATAATTTAAATAATTTAAATAATAATAATAATACCTAACTATAAATAATTGTATCGTGTAATAAAATATTAATCCCTTTAAATACAGTGTAAGTACTTTGTGCCAATTACTATCTATTCAGAGTTTGAATAATATAAGTCAGCACTTAGTGTATAATAATCCAAACCACCTATGATGCATTATGGTAATTTATAAGAAGTGCCTATGATTGGTTCTTCTATTGCAATTTATTATATACACGATTTTACGGTTTCATGGTAAATAAATGAAAATTTTAAAACTATAGCTACAGTGCTTAACTCAGTCAGACGGCATTCAAAGGATATCATGTATTTCTATTCGACATCTCAGCTATTTTTCAAACACCTAATAATAAATATTTTTTGGTACTTAGAACCAAGCATTATAGATTTATTTATTAATTCAAATGATATCACTCAAAATATTTACTTCGGTACATTACTATCCAAACAGGAACGGTCGTTTAAATTTAATAAATTCTCACGTGGTATCTATACCGCGACCGCTTCTTATTATTACCCGTACGCTACTTAGACCACACCACCACCACCATCACCATATCCCTCCACTCGATGCAAAGCATTTTTTAGGTCGAGTGAGATAAGGGGAAATGAAAGCAAACAGGCCGATGGTGGATTACCGTTTTATCTCGTTTCACATAATATGTAGGTTCATCGTATAGTCGATCTTCGTATGGCATTATTGGCATTTAGCATTCGCAACAATATTCGCTGACTATTGAA